ACTTCATGCACCTCCACATATGTATACATACATACAAGTATGTGTTTATAGAGTAAGCTTTGGAATAATATTTTCTTACGTATATAAATATTTGTCTCAAACTACAACGACTAAGTACAACAAGCTATTGTTGAGCGAGCATCTTTTGTCGTTTTGATGTCACGAAAAGTGAATGCGGCATTTGGCTATTGTTTTTTATGCGAAAAACTTTTTTGGCAGCTGCAACTTTGCCATAAGTGTAAGTTCAAGCATGTTGCAAACATTTTCTTAGTACATACAGCTGCGTACATTTGTATTGATATGCCCATATTTTGGAATGTCATCCATTTTTTAAAATATATAGTTTCTACATATATTCATTGAGGTCTTACAGTTTAAAGTTAGACTATGAAATGATCTTTCAGAGTTCCTCCAATAATATGAATAAAAGAATTGAAGGCTGTGAATAAAATTGTCACGAGACGTCAGAATTAGTGGCGTATTTTTTATCGCATTTCAAAAACACAAAATCAGTGTTCAATTTCCATAGTATATAAGTATGTACGTATGTGCACTATTTTCGATCTGTTACAGTGACTAAGTATTTCTAATGTACTTACAAACATCAACCATGACAATAAGGAAAACAATAACAAGTGACCATTTTTCATGCGACAGATAAGAGTTGTGGTATGGTGAAGGCAGAATATGACTAGCAACTCATATGTGAAAGAATAATAATAATAAGAAAAAGTTGAGAGGTTAGGTTAAGTGTGAACAAAGAAAATGAATTAAGCGGTCACAAACGAATGAAGTATAGTGAGGTCATAACTTAACAATTGAAATGATTAATTTTAATTTCAGCTAGTTCATATGGATGAGTTAGGGAGTTTGAGTACAAGTTCTTTTATCTTAGTATCGCTAAAGAATTATCTTTAATATATATATTTATATATATATGTGGTACAGTAAGACAATCACTAGTCACCAGGAACCATTAAAACTAGGGAAGGCTGGAACTAAAAATTACTTGGATTTGAAAAACCCGAAAAATTAATATACGTTACCATTATATTCGACACCATATGAATGAAGTAATGTAAAACTATTGGTTTTAAATGAAGCCGGCTCGATGTTCGTGACCTACAGCGGTCATTTGAGGTTGTATGTGTTATATATTTTTTATATTATGTAAATGTTGCAAAAAGATGGCGGCTAACATTGAGCATATTGCCAAAAAAGTGAGCGAAACGCCGAGGAATCAATTACGATGGAATAAGTTTTCTGTCGATTAAGTGTTATTTTTATTATTATTATTCGATTTACTTTATATCTTGAATAGAATATATTGTATTAAGCTTTCCACGAAGTTTGAAACAACAAGAAATATTGTAAATAATCACAGTGACGAGCCGAGTCCATGGTGCCATGTCCGCCCGTCTGTCTGTATATACAAAATCTAGTCTATGAGATTTTGCAATATAGATTTGAAATTTTTTCCATGTTCATTTCTCGCTACTGATTTGTCGGCATCTCCGAAACATTGTCAAGAAACCCTCGACAGATAGTTGTAGTTATTTTTCTATACAAAGCTTTGCATTCGCAGTCTCATATTCTTCTTCTTCTTCTAAAATAGTCATTATATGCTGTTGTCAATCTGATAATTAGATAGTGTCCTGAAAGCACTCCTACTAGAGTTCTTAGTCATTCCTTTTGAATTCTAATAGTCGCTATTTACGGCCCATATTCCATTCATGCAAGGGTTGCCTCATTGTTAGCGATTGACTTCACCGAGACTCAGCTAAATCTATCATATGTTTATCGTTTAAATATCTACAAGTAATCAGAGCCATATAAATTCGTTTTTTTCGTATCTAATTTTGCTGAAAAGGCACCCCATCCCCTTATTACATACGTCTAATATTTGTAAGAAGGATTCCCTCAGTCTTAAAGCTGCCTTCGCTGCTAGTTGATTACAACTATCTGAAGGTAAGTGGAACTACTCGTAACTAGTTTAATGTTGACCACCGAGTTTGACTGTTGTGTGTATGGTGCAGAAAAGCGGCGAAGATGGATGTTAAGTTTTGAATCGGTTATACGGTATATTGAACCTTTTGAAGAGTGAGAGATAATTCATTAAGTGCTCTATCTACCAAACACTTGCAACAATTTTCTAAAAATTCTTTTTTCTCAGTTAAGTTTATCAAACCATTTGTGAGAACACACTCCTCGCATTTAACATATTATTCAAGCTTCAAGCAGAAATATCCATAAGCCTTAAATGGTTTCGCATTTAATTCGAAATAAGTGTAAAAGAATGTAAATAATAATAACTGCTGTCAAATAAAAATAGAGAAATCTGCAAAAACAACAAAGTGGCAAAATGTCAAAATTAAATGAAAGACGCCCGTTTCCACACATCTGGAAGGCCTTAGCAACAAGCTGGCAGGCAACGTGCACTCAAGAACATGAATAATAGCTAGAAAAATGGTGACATTGCTCGCTTGCCACAGTAATGAAGTCAGTCGGTGGCAACAACCTTTGCAAAGAGCAAAGGCGTGCTATATTAACAAGATGTTGTGGCACTAAACACGTTTTGCCGGTGGCATAAAAACAGCGGAGAATTTTGGCAAGAAATTCGGGAATCGAGAAAATATCATATACTTGTATACTGACGTATGTGTGTCTGTGTATATGCAATACAGTTATATATGTGTAGAGCACATGATATGTGTGTATGTTTGATGGCAGCAAATTGGTGTCAATGACTTGGTAAATAACCGCAAAGAGGCGTGTGTTCCAAATGTGTCTACACTTACTTAAATATATATGAATTTCCTATGAGTGTGTTTATTTATTTTATATGTGTATGTGGAGCGGCTTTGGCTTTACACTTCCTGTACTAATTTTTTTATCGCTTTTATTGACCTAAATGGCATTTACTTAATTGTTTAACCAAATAGTAACAGAAGCACATGCAAACAAATACGATCCATAAACACACACAAATACATATACATATGTATATCTATTTTCAACCTCTCTTTATGCCTGCGTTCACTTGTTAGTTGCTTCCTTCATGCTCAACAAATTTCGAATTGTGAGAGATTCGAAAATTTATGATCTTCTTGCTTGGCATTCGAGTAGTTTTTTCCCAATTAATCGCTACATGTGATTCTAATGATCTTAGTAATGCTTACGATAATGATAATATATTCGCACATGTTCTGATAGTGAACTCATCACATGTGCTTGCATAAGAATTTTTTCCGATAAAAGATGTTGAATTTTGTGAAGATTATTGCTTATGCATAATATATAAGTTGTATGAGCTTATGCGCTTACGATTGAGGTTGAACATATAAGGAGGAAAGGAGGTACAGGTTTAGATGCAAATTTGCTGCAGGAAATGATACCAAAGATGAGAGACAGTAGAGATATAGAGCTGGTCATTATTTATATACATTTTTCTTGAATATATATAGGCACTTTAATCATTTCGGCCTTATACCAAGCAAGACAAAGCTTATAAAACCGACTTTCCTCTACTAATGACATTTAACTCTAAGTATTTTGCCTTCAAATGGAATCAAGAAGACAAAATAGCTTTGCATCTCTTCATGAAACATTTCATCAAGAGCTCAGGCCTCTATTCTATAATGCTTATTATGAGAGCAGAAGGGTATGGAAGGGGGAAGATAATTTCACCACAACAAATAAAGGCCTTAAGTGAAGATATACCATTGACCCTTCTTCCGAGGGATGACATTACCAAAAAGGTTTAAAGTTTAAAGCTACATTCGGTAGTAAGCCCGAAACTCCACTCTATGTACATTGATGGCTTGGCCACGCAATTATCGCAAAGAACGTATTGCTATATTCAGTGAAAGTCAAGTGGTACTCAAAGGGATCTCGGCTTACGAGCGTAAAGAAGGCAGGAAAAAATATTGACTAAAATTTACAGGCACAATTTGACGCAGAATCAAGACCTTGAATTTATATATTCGAATTGGGAATACATCGGAATTCATTAGAGTGCTAGCCTTTTGTAAGTCTATATAAAAGAGGGGAGCGATCTAACCTAAAGTCCACACCTCTTCTGATGTAATGAAGACGAAGTTTAATTATGGGGGCATACATTAAATATTATGCGAGATCAGTCAATACAATTATTCGGAACTTATAAAGTTGCCATCAGTTCATAAGATCTAATATAAGGAGTATACAAATTTAGGACGTGTTCTATAGCTAAAAATAATACAAGTAGTAACATAAAGTACGTTTACTTTGCGGCCGCACCGAAACTGTAAACCCTTCCCATGTGCATAGCACAAATGTTATAAAAACGATCTTATCTCGATTTTAATTGATCGGTTTGTGTGGTAGCTGTTTGCTATAGTGTTCCGAAAGAACATGAAACAAATTTCAGATCAATATCTCAAAAATTGGGGAACTATTACATCTCTTTATGCTACGTTACAAACGGTTCATTTTACTTTATAATAGGTAACCCTAGATTCATTCAAAATATTACAACAAATTTTATATCACATATAGTGCCTCTAAAATTTCGCAATTTTATGGTGCTAAAAATTGTCGAAATTAGTCCATAACTTTTCTAGGCTTTTTACATCATATATGAGGACTTTATCTGGGTTTTATTTCAGACGGAATACATCAAGCTAAATTTAAGATGTTAAAAAAAAATATATATAAAAAAGTAATGATAAAATCTTATAGTCGGCAAATGTTAATGTAATCGATTCAATTTTATTTTTAGTCCCCACATATCACATATACCCAAATCATAATTTTTGTTTCAATGATTGACTCAGCATAATTATTAATAAAATCGATTTAACTATGCCTCTAAACATCATCGATAGTATAAAAGATAAGAGAGACTACATTTGGAAAAATATTTTGCTATAAAAATCATCAAATTATTATTTCTAAAGTCCAGTAAATACAGATGTATGTATACAATATGTTTGTGTGGCTGTATTTAATATCTCACTTACCTCTCATGTAAATATAAGCCGTTCCGCGCATATTTCTTCGCGTCAGTACAACTAGATTAAGGACGTTGCCAATGATGCCAAGCGAGCAGATTATTGGTAAAATAATGCCGTAAGAGTACTCACGTAAAGCCTCTGTGCGTGGATCCTCAGGGAACTGTATCAGTAAAATGGATAATAAGCACAAAAGAATATTACGGAGGAGAAGAAAATGAATAAGTGAAAACGGTGGAGATTTAAATATATGTGATCACTGCTGGAAATTTTCTCATTCTCATTCTCATTGGAAATACCTACAAGTGCATATAGGGCCGTATATAAATAGACCTTTATTGTGAGAAACAGCGAAGAAAAGGTATGGTCGCTGTTAAAACTGTCATTCGCAATAAACAGCGGCATTAAATGGCCTTCCAAATGCTTATGCATATAAACATTTATCCAGTACAATAAAAGCTATTACAGTTGGGTATGCAAAAACAAGCATATACATATACACATATGCGGGCGTATGGGCGAATAAACATACCGTAAGCCTTGCCGCATATCGGCACGTTCTGTTAAACGAGCGAATGGAAATTTCAATGAAAAGTAAGAAAAATTGAAAAGAAGCTGGGCAAAATATTGGCAACAAAGTGCTGCAAAAATGCCAAAAAAAAATGAAATGAGGAATATAAGTCAGCGCTCAAAGAATGACTGTAAAGAAAAGCAGAAGGTTGACATAATCTATGTCATTACTATGCCCATTCATTGCCGTCTGCATGTCCTACTCGGAGCTTAAAGGGTGGCACGAGCTGCTCGATGCTCAAGTGAGTTCGACCGTGTTCAAGTCTCTGCTGCATGACTGTGTCTACCAATGTCATTACATAGCGCCTATCGCCACTTTTACATGTTGCCTACTACTGTGGATGTTGTAGCCGTTGCAAGTTGAGTACTGCTGACATTCAGCGCCCAGCGCCCAGCGCCCATCGCCCATTACCCACTTCGTGCTCTTGCTCACTGAAATTAGTATTAGTATTTGTATGGCAAATCAATTTCTTCTTCTTCGCCATTTCTGCTTTTCCCACTATCGTTGATGGGTCTGCAGTTGAATGAGATGCGCTCTGTCATCTTCTCTGTGAATGGTGCTAGGGCTGCTTAGCATAACGACAGGCGCGCCGAGGATTTACAAATAAACAAGTATACTTTTAACAAATGTACATATTTTGTATATATGGTACATACTACATATCTCTTAGTTATATATGTAGGTAAGTCTTTATGTTAGGGTCGTCCTTGAGTAAGTTACGAAAAATTTGGCATTAGGCAGCTATATACTATAGTGGTCCGATCTACAAAAATTATTTGAAGATTGTAGCATTGGCTTGGGCAAGAATCCATGCAAAATTTCGCGAAGATATTTTGTCAAATCAAAAAGATTTCTATACAAGGATTTGATTTGGATCGGCCAGTTTGTATAGTAGCTATAAGCTTTAGTAGTCCGATATCAGTCGGTTTCGACAATTGAGCAGGTTCTTTGAGTGGAAAGAATGTATACAAAATTTCAGACTGATATCTGCAAAACAAATTAAATGTACAGATAGATGGACCACCCACGACAGTTGGGTCTAGGTAACCGGAACGGACCCGGATATTTATCCGGTCAAGGACTGTCACCCCGGCATCATTCCTCGAAATTACTTTAGGAATGTTTTCTGCCGCTACAACAACAACATGGACAGGCAGACGGGCATGACTAAATCGACTCAGCTCGTCACGCTAATCAGTTATATATACATATCACGATATTTTTTCACTTTTTCATGTATATTAAGTTTTTGGATCACCCTAATGTATGTTTACATTTCCCTATATACTACTTATTTTATACCTTGTGCTCATTGGTATTTTTTTTACGGACAAAATTTAAATATTCAATTTTCAATTTGCTACTCAAATTTACATATATGAATATTGCAAAAGAACTTCTATTAGCTGTATGCGTTGATAGCAGCCCAATAGGGCCTTGGCTACACGACCTTGTTGAAGTTTGGTGCGAATATTCAACTTATTTCCATTATAAAAAAATTTGTTAATTTAAATAGCTGACGTCGAAGTGGAGGAAAGTAATTTTTGTGGTTATATTTATATGTTAGTAGTGTCAAATATCTTATAAATTTCAGAAATTTTAAGGTACTGCAAATTTAAAATAGCTTTTAGTTAGGGGGCATGCTTGTATTTCGACGCAGGTCAGATTCAGCTCAAAAATATTTAACTAATTTAATACACAGTTAATGTAAAGAAAATCTCACGTTTTATAATTTTTAGTAATGGAAACTTAGAGAATTAATTAAGCTAACGAAAATTTCTGCTACTTTAATGTTAGCACATTAAATCACAATCTCTGGAAAATTTTGGTAAATACGCTTTAAATCACTAATATATAATATTGCTTAGATCAAAATGCAATATTTTTTTTTATATATATAAGTTCTGATAGATCCATAAAAATATATCTACCATATATATACGAGTATATATAATATATAATTATAAAAATTCCAAACTGATTGATCAAAATCAAGAAAATATCTTCATAAAACATCTTTTTTCCTAATTAAGTAATCTTAATTTTATCTGAAAGTTATTTATAGCAAACAACGTGGTTAGAAATAATTAAGAAGGCGCTTTCCATTGGCTGCAAACCGTTAGTAGAATAAATTTTTCGATTGAGTTATACATAGGTATGGACTATATAAAATGCTCCTGTGAATGGTATTACAGATCTGGTAAAGCCGAAAGTAATGTTTTTTCTTGTTCTATGGGAAGGCGCCAATAGAGTTGCACCCATATAGTTTTTATTCAAACCTTAACCTTTAAAAGACAAGTCTATAGATCGTCCAAAACGTACAGTTATTTAACTGATTTTGAGTAGTGTTTCGACTATTGAATCGTAATCGATTTCTTAGTCAGTGGTTGAAAATAATCACCATTATGATATTTCGCTTGAGCTGTCAAAGTGTGGAACAGTCAACTGGCAAGGTGTTGGTGTATATATTTAAGGTTGTTGTGTGGAATAATTTTAATAAAGGGCAAAACGCTTGATCGCCATATACAATAATGGAACTTTAGAATATCGAACTTGGCCAAATTTAAGAAGAAGAAAATTCTGTGTTTGATGGATTTGAAAATTTGCAAGAATTTTCTTCCAAAGGCTTCCATATTCAACGTATTCCACTCATTTGACCACTAGAAACTTTTACCAGCTCTTAGATCTCAAAAAATTGATCGCTGGAAGGAAATTGAGTGACTATGAGGTAGTTAGCGATGTATAAAAGAAGTATCGATCACGATGGCAACTATGTTAAATAGTAAAATCGATTTGTGATTTGCAAAGAAGCAAGGATCTTCACAAACAGGGAGAGAGCTATAATCTCTCATCAAAATAAAAATGTTTAAAGTAGAAGGGTACAGGCATATCAAGAGGAGGTAACAGGACAGATATTATTGAATGTATCAAAAGTAGCTGTGTAAATTTATTATAATTAGGTAAATTTTTGGAGTAAAATTTTCTTATATTAGATAGGAAAGTGATTAACATGTGGGACCAAATGCCACGTAATATCATTATATAGTGGGGCCACGCACTTTTGGCTTATTATGCCTTAAAATATTACAGCAAAACAATATTTCACCAGAAGATTTGTTTCTTCTTTGATATCTCATAAAATGAGCGCCTACACCGACGTTGTAACATCTAATTTAAAAATAATCTTTACATTAAAGTCTCACTTCGTCAACGGCAAAGTTACGCATATTGGCAATTTTCATTCATCAATGGAAATCAAGCGGAAAAGCAACTGAAAAACAAAAGTGAAAGAGCAATCAGCCACCTTCCACAAGTACTTACGTCGTTGGCAATGAAAAAATCGTCACGTAAACTACTGCCGCCAGCACCATGCACAGCAGCGCTGCCAATAAGTATGTCTGACTCTGCGACGCCGACACCTAGCGCACTGCCCGCACCATAACTGCTGTGTGCACTGTATAGTGTTGGTGTAGCGCCAGCTACTGCGCTACCAACAAGCGTCGTCTCACCATCCTCATCGATTTGTTCGTTCGCATTCGACGCATTCAAGTTTCTGCCCCAAATTAACGAACAAAGGGCCTGGTCCTCCTCGGTGTTGTACAACCGTGTTATCATGGCGTGCTGTTGTGGCCGGTAGGTAGGTAGCTCTAAACGCAGCTTTATTTAAGTGGAATGGCGGGCAAAGGGCGGCAGCGGCAGCGGCGGCGACGGTGTCAAAAGTGTGAAACTTTCTATTAATAGAAAATGAAATGAAAGGGTTGAAGCGTGGCGTAGCGAAGGCAATTTAAAGGTGAAAGCCGCTGACGTCGCTATTCAATGCTTTTTTGTTAATCTTATGTTGTTGTTGTTCTTTCTTTCAATACTTTGTTTTTGTTTTCTGCTTAGTTGTAGTACTTGTAGTTGCTATTTGTGTGTGTGTTTTTGTTGCGCGTCAATTCATTTGAATTGCAAATAGTTGCGCCGGCTGGTGAGGTCGCGCCATTCCATGCAACGTTACGGCCGTTGCCAACGTCAGCCGCGTAACACCGCACGTAAGCGACTGCAGTTGTTGTAGTCGTGACGGCAGCAACTCGAGCAGCAGTGATTTTTGAAGGCAATGTCTGTCTTCTTGTTGAAAGTGCGAGGTTAAAGCAGCAATAAGAATGTTAACGGAAAATGCCACACTTCTGCGAAACGCACGGTAGCTGCAGACCAAAGTGGAAAACCAAAAAGCTGGAGGCAAAATAACGAACAGTGCTTGCGCTGCGGTTATTTTTAGTCAGTTTAGTTTTGTGTCTTTTGGTGCCTCAAAACTTTTTTGTTGCCTTTAAATAATCTAAAATTATTTTAAATAACTTCAAATTAGATCGCTTCGTTTAATTTTTCGTTGCTGTTCTCACTTTAATCACTGTTATTGTTTTTTTGGCGTTTATTCCACTTCCTTGCTGACTAAATTGTTTGTTGCTTTTCACATAAATTTTCTTGCACCGCAAATATTTCTTTCACTTATACACATTCTTTTTATGGCCACAAAATTTGACAGGAATTTTCCACTGCTCCTTCCGCTCCGCCACATCAACACCCAATGATTTTCCACCTGCTGTGTCTGCTTTAATTGCTTTTGTTGTTTCTCCAACCTAATTTTTATTAGATTGTTAATTTTATCGGCATTATTATTGTGATTATTTTTAGTGTGCAACATAATCGTTTTATATTGCTTGTGGCACATTTTCGCATGTTATGATAGCTGTCGCTGTACAGACCAGTTTAATACCTGAAATGAAATAAAACTGTACGTTAATATTTCCAAAAAAATTTTAACAACAAAAATAATATTTTTATGTTCCTCGCGTGTAGGATATTTATATTAATTTATTGGTTGATATTATTTTTAATTATGGAGCCAGAACTTTAGTGCCTAGTTAAGTCTACCTTACGGTAATGTGCTACACAAAAGAATTACCTTCTCATATTTGTATAAAAAAATACAAGGAATTTTTAACAGTGTTCCAAATTGAACCAGTTTCATACTTAATACTGCATAGGGCTTAGATTGGACTATAACCAATTTAAAATCTTAATAAAATTGCTATATATAGATAATGGAGAAACTTCAAAGCTGATTTTATAGACTGGCATCTGCTTTCTGAAACCAATATTCTTTCTGACGTTATGACATATTTATAAGCAAAAATAATAACCAGACTTTTACCGATATTGATATAGTTTCATAAAATTGTGATTTTACTCAAACAACGAAGATTTTATGCCGTCTCTCTAATTTATATGCCGCCAGAGTGTGTGATGCGCTTATCAGCTCCACAAGTGACTATTAAGTAGCGGTTTTTAGATAATATTTATATTTCATATGAAGTGCTGAAAATTAATTCCAGTTATACTTCAACGATCGATAAATGCTGACCGTATGAACGAGGCCATACCAACTAATCAAATTTGACTGGTACATATGAATTTTTTACTCGATTGGTACCACCTTTTTCTATGTTAGGGTGAAATCTGATTTGCATATGAGCAGCCTGCCATAATGTCACGGTCCCATCTACCTTAATAACTTCCTTCCATCAGTTTTAGATCCATTGAAGCCCTCTCTCTGTTTCTCAATTATATATTAATTATCTAAATTCTACGAAAATATATCCGGTTAGCTGTGGATATAGTCTTACTTTATACTCGTATTTGCTTTTGGAATTTTAAAGTTGGTCAGAATATTTTGCACAATTCTTTCATAATTTTGTGTTTTATGGTTACCTAGGAAACTTTTGAGTGTTGATAAATTTTTCCAAGCTTCACTTTCCTGAACAGTTATAACATTGATCTGTATCTCTCATGAATCGCGATATTTGAGGAGCAACAAATGTTCACCTTTCAACTTTTCTATACCTAGTTTGGGAAATTTCTATAAATGTAATTTCAACAATGTCCTTCCACATGCAATGCTTTAACATATTGCTTTATCATTCCTAAATTGATCACGTATAAAAAACATGAGTTCATTTTGAGAAAATAACTTTGGTGTAGTTGTTTCAGCCTTCCTTTCAGTACTACGTATAGATTGTGCCGATTTCTGGGAAACTTAGAGAGGTTTTTATTAAATAATACTGAACATTTGGTAGAATCTAGGTTTAGAAAATCAAACGTAGAAATTGATTTTTATTGAATTTTAAAATCTTCCGCATAATTTTTCGCATATTTTATGTAAGGAGCATGAGAGTGCGGATCCCGTAATGTCTATACAAGTATGCGCGAAAAATGTACAGAATCCTAATCATGACTACAAAAATAAATTTCATTGCTAACAAGCCGATTATTGATCAGTAGAGCTGTGTAATTGAAAATCTAGTTTTTCTCAGTCCGGGTCAAATCTGATCAATTGGTATATTTGTAATCTTCATTGCGTCCTCTTTCTTACAAGTTCCGTGGAATATTATTTATTTCGACGAACGAACCATGAACTGTTGTATGTGTTCCAAGCCCGACAATGACCCCAAACAAAACGAAAGCTTATTAAAGTCAAAGATATTCGATTTTAACATACCAGCATGGGTTTTTATGCAGTTCAAAAGGTATAGAAACCCCCTTAGACTAAAGCTTAAATTCTATGTGGTTGCAAATACTAGTTAGTAAATGAAATTTACGTTGATATTTCTATGAACCTGTAGAAGTGTATGTTATTCATTCCTCTTTTAACTCACCTCAAGCTCTTAAGGACATGCTTAAATATGTTTTCTTTTTAAATCAATTACAGAATTGATTACCGATTAATATTCTCAGCGTCTTAAATTACGCTTTTATCACTATTTGTGAGTATTTTCAAACATAAAGACCATAAATGCCGCCAACATAAGTGACTTATAAATTATACAATATATGTATGTTGCTCATTCGACATGGTATACTGTATGCATGCTCAGCCAATTGATGCAGAATTTTTTAAAGAGTAGAAGTAAAATTGAAATTCAGGAGGCGTCAGAAAAAAAATCGTCTCGGGAAATAACGGACACCCTAATAAATACATATGTATGATCATAAAATTCTTTTTCAGACCTTTGATAAAAAATAATGTTTTTGAATCATCGATACTGATAGAGCTACTGTATGTCTACGGAGGAGGTATAACTTTGTCAAGAAATTTTTCAAATATCTTTGGAGATCGGTGCTTGCAACAATAATCACAATGATCGACGACCCGCTTCTGTGTGACTGCAATATTCTTTTGGCCTAGAGTAAAACAGAGGAGATCTACTGAACTGCTCGGTCTTAGTAAAGTTCATCTTGCCGTAATCATAGGACTGGATATTGTTCAATAGGCATTAATGCGATAAGGCTAAAAATCTTCTCGGACGCAAGTGGTCAAAGTTATATGGAGTAGGATGAGATAAACCCATCCAGGCACATTCATCTCCATTGTGCAGCCTTTACTAGACTGAGGTTGAAACATTCCAGTAGTCTGAACTTCGGCGAACCAAGAGACATAGCCGAAATTAATATTAGCCGTCTCAACAAATTTGTGATAAACTCAAAGCGCTTTGTCGATTTGTGAGGTTCTCATAATCTATTATTAATTTTAGGTAAGACAACAGACCGGCGCTCTTAATTGCTTAAGTGTAATTTTCACTTAAATTAAATTTTAACAAAATACCAGCAATATGTGTACTATGTTATGGAAATTCATTGCTCCGTCCAGCCAGTCTTAGTATTTTCTCAATTTATATGCAAAAGGGTGATAGCAATTGACCCAGTAACTCGTTATTACTACAGTCATACCGCAGAAAGACTGACGCAAAATATAAAAACAATAAGAATCTGAATTGAATTTCATTTGAAAACACGTAAACTTGTTAAGTACAACAAAAGACGAACTTGTAAATAATTTCATCGGCTGTTACTGAAACGAGGTGAGTGAGGTTAGTGAATTAAAGTATCTTCGTAGAAGAAAAAGTTGACAAGTAAAGTGAATAAACCAAACTCAGCTGTGCGCAACCCCAGACTACTTTAAATAAGCGCTATAACAAATTAAACATCGAAGTTACGTATACGCAGTGGCCTCAACTTGTATGGCATATGAATGGAGTTTATAGGAGTTTCTTTAAAGTTACACTTTCCTCTTTATGCGTAGCGGCAGAGGACGATGTAGAATGAAGAGAAAAGCGACATGACCATAAATGCATATGGGAATAATGTAAATAAAATTTACAATGCCAGTCTCTGAAGACGGATGAACCTATTCACCGCAAGAAGGTTGCGTAAATATTTGTAGTTTGAAATAAATGTAATCAGCAAAGAATAGCAGCAGACGAATATACACATATGTATATATGTTAAGAAAAGCATATCAATGCCACATAGCTTCTTATGAATGAATGCTTACATGTAGTAATTTCGCTGGCATAAGAAGAATAGAATACACATATTAATGCGTAAAAATAGTTCTTTACAAGGATGTTCATTTACATGTCTGCTATTAGGTGTGGCTGAAGTCGGCTTGTGCTTGAGGCAGGTACCAGCAGCTGTCTCCGTATGTGTGCGTTGATGCGTTAAACCAAAAGTTGAAGCCAACTTTTAAATATACATGTATGCAGGCGTATATAAAAATTTCCCTGTAGGAAAGTTTTAATGTTAGGAGTTTATTGTTTCAGAGAAAACTTTTTAAATATAAGATATATGCAGTATGTGGCGTTAGAAAGATCAGATTTTGTACTTCTCAGACAGAAATGCGTTTGTTGGAGCACGCGTCCAAAATGGTGACCAGCAAGAAGGAAATACGCTATATTTGACAGTTTGTCGTCGAAAGAGGCTAGAACGGAAGCCAAGCAGCTGAAAAATTATATTTTATGGTTTTCCCTTCCGTTCCGAAAATTTTGATTTGACGTGGTGCACGTTCTGGCAGATCAATTGTCGAAAAAATCGATAAAATAATTGAAATCTTCGATTACGATCATCATGCAGGCACTGTCAACTCGCAACTGTTAACCGTTTAAATAAAGCTGAATAGAAAAAGAAAATTGATATACATATAGGTGCCGCTCAAGGACCGAATTTCCATCTACGAGAGTCAATACATTACTGAAGCTATATGATATGAGTTTGGTACGATTATAGGGAATCATTCACTATGAGCTACTCTCCTATAGCCAAAGTTTTTATTGCAACCATCTGAAGAAAGCAATCGCCCGGATGCGGCCAGATTTAGCCAATAGGAGAGAAATTGTATTCCATCAGGACAACGCAATAGTGACTCACCAAAAGCTGACCACCTTATAATTCGAACCTGGTATCAAGTATCCTGTTTAAGACGAATTACTTTTTTAGTGAAAATTTCGCCACCAGTTAAGTTTGAGAAAATTGACCGTTCCCCTTTTTTTCCAATAGCGAAGAGGGTTTCAATTAGAGTGGCATTATGACACTACGCTCAAAATGGCAACAAGCAATCGAACAATACGGTTTATATCTACCTAAATAGCATTCTAACTATGCTAAATTTAACCTTCTATTTATTGGATTTATTTTTACAGCTTTGATGTCGCAATATTTCATATAATTTTTGTAAAAATCGTATCGATATATCTTACAAAAAGGGGCCAATAGTCTCATATAGTTCAGCTGTTTTTCCATTATTTATTTTTTAAGTTGGATAATTTCTTATAATAAAATTATTTTGCTTTTGTTTTGGCCATTCTAGAGTATGTGAACACATATGGTATAAAATTTTCACATTAACCAGAATGCTCGAAGCAAAACAAGGAGCAGCATTAA